TGTTTTATATTGTTAATATAGATTTAAAACCTTTGTTTGCCTGTGTCTCAATACGAAGCAAAAAATAACTATTGTTAATCCTTGTAAGTAGATAAGAATTTTCTCGATTATGTCAAAAAAATCTATTGTCAGGTTTCGTAGGCATTATTTATTTTTTGTTGGCGATCTGTTTTAACACGTTATTTGTATTGAAAGTCACATTTAGTGTGAAACAGAAAAACTTCTATTGTTATAAAAAACAAAATACTTTAGACCAGCAAATTGATATGTTCACTATTGTCCTGTACAAAATTGTTATTAATTATAAGTATATTAATTTAAAACAATAATGTAATAACTCGAGACACACACGGCTGGCTGATTGAAATTAGACAGTGCCTGTGTTATGATACCGTGGTGACGAATAAGAATACGGAGTGTCACCACCCCTATTCATCCCTTGGGTGTATGAGGCAACTAAGGGAGATAACTTAGCAGGACATCTTCAAAGAGAACGAAAACTTGACACAAACCCTATACCAATCCGTCTGGGCAGCGTGGTATAGTAGGCCAAAGCCTCCTTTCTAAGGAGAGGCCTATGTCCAGCAGTGGACTGTTAGAGGCTGTTGATGTGATGTTTGGGATGTGTTATGGATTACCATAACACATCCCAAACATACTTATATATTAACACAGACTGCAGATAAACATACTTAGATATTAAATAAGTATTTATAATTAATGATCTCACTCACGACACAATATTTGAAGGAATCGAACCCACGACCTCAAGGTTAGCATCGCTAACCACTAGGCTAGACCATCATCACGGCCGCGTTTTTTATCAGACGGCTACAGCACCGAGGAGATAAATTATTCTCTATGGTTGTAGATTTTACTCAGAATCTTATATCCTTTAACCATATTCAAGAAAATCAAGTATCCATATATATATATTTAAACGTTAAGTTGATTTCGGTACACTTCAAAAACTCAAAAAGTTCTGCACCAATTGAGGTCAAGTTTTGACACGTTGTACAAACCGTTTCAAAGAATGTTTTCATCTATTTATTGCAAGCACAATATGCCACAGCAAAGCTTGGCAGGGTTCAGCTGGTATATTATACATTTGTATTTTTATGTATATACTCGTATTAAGGTGTGTTGGTCATTATTTATTTACTATGAAAAAAAACATCAAGTAATTAATCATTTTTAATACAGTTTGAGTATGTACTTATTACGTATAAACAATAGGTAAGAGTTTTATGTAATAAAAGTAGGATTATGTGTTTGTTCAATGAAGTTGATAAAGTACGATGGATGAGGAAATAAATAAATAACAAATATAAAACATCACACAGTGTAGTAATGAATAGTTGCAGGTTATTAATAGCAATAGTTAAAGAGTTTAATAAAAGGACAAGTTTCGTAATCAACTATGTCTTATAATACAATAACTGTTCTACACAAACATCTTATATCTAATTTATACAAAACATGTTAAATAAGCATCTCTCTCTTCTTAGGGAAGATACCCATAACACGTGACCCGTTCGGGGGGAGAGGGATCAAGCCACCACGATTGGTCACAAGGGCGGGGGGAGAACTTAGGTTTTCATCGCGTAGTAATATCCTCTAGTTAGGCAGGTCAATAAAATCTCGTGCTTTTTCGAGCTAAGTATTGCAAGCGCTGCCACCCTGTATTAATAAAGACAAATATAGGCAGTTTTTTTTTGTTACTTTCCAAATAGCAAAAAATAATTGAAACCATATTTATGAATAACTACTTGAAAACTAGAGGGACGGGGTCTTAGCATATACAACGTAGGGGTTAAAACATTGTACATAATGTCACGTAGTATAGGTATGTTCCCTTATTTATTATAGGTTTTGAACACTGGCAAAACTTTCAAAAGCTATTATAACATCAGATTTTAATAAGTTTATATGCTACCTGTAAATATTAAATGTAATTCTGCATAATATAAACCTTTGAATAAGTAATAATCTTTTTTGGGTATCGTGTGCAAACGAGCGGGGCCTCAATTATGCTATTTTATGTTAACGCCAAGCCACTGTCATTCCATTGACGCCATTGAGACTCCATTCACATCGGTCAAAATATCAGTATTCTACTAACATAAATTCATAGTGTCAATAGACTGTCAAATTAAACTGGAAAATTAAATATATCATTTTCTTAGTAATTTAAAATGTACCGTTTACCAAACTATTACAAAGACATAGACGACATTGGTATCAGTAACAAGTCATCGGGAGGCCATTGGTCTTACATAGTAGAATAGGAAAAATGCAAAACTATTCCAACGACATTCCGTTGACAGTCTATTGATACAATATTTAAATAACATAACTGAGACCCAGTCGGTTCACCTAACAAGTTGTGTGAAAAAAACTCGCGCTTGGCCTTGGCATCTTCACGGTGACCGTTTAGCGCTACGATTGGCACGCACTGAAATTTCCACCAATCACAACGCTAAACGCGCTCGCCGTCGAGAGCGAGTCGATGTGAAATAAACTTACACTAGGCTCTCAGTTTTCTGTGAGGCCATGGTATCACTCCGGTCAAGCCAACTTTCTTCACACTCTGTTAGGAGCTTATGACTTTTTTGATAATATTCTTTTTTAAGCAACCCAATTCATTTAATCAAATTAAATTCTAAGGATTAAGAAAACATTCTCAATGTGGGTTTATTCATATTCGCATTCCGAAATGTCTACAGAATAATTCAAGCCCCCTCGGTCACGGTCACTTTAGAAATTAAGTTTTTACATTAATTACAATACAATATTCTTTATTGTATACGAGCATTGTACAAATCATTTGTAATAAATTTTATGAATAATAAGATTAATAGCGTTAAGAATTACATTGTCTTATTAAATCATTCGCACTTACTTACAACATTAACACTTATTTCAAAACTAGCTTTATTAGTTAGCAACCGATATCTCAAACCTGATTTGGGAAGTTGATTCCTCAAATTTAACAGACATTTTGAAACAAAACATATAAATTTGCGTTGTAAGCATACAAAACCCTTACATACATGTTTACTATAATGAACACGAAAAATATTATATTTCAGCAGTTTAAAAGTACATAAGGTAGCAGAGTAAATGTTTTATAATTTCATTCAACAGATACAAAGTACACAAACAGCTACCGTAAAAACATTTTTTATTTCCTTAACACAATAACAGACTGGTAGATAGTAGTTATTAGATAATACAAGTGTGCGTTTTACAGATATGTTTAAACATTAATTTCTTCTGTGTTTCTGCACAAATATTCACACCTGAAAATGTAATGTTAGATACTTAATTATTTTATGTTAAAGACGGCTCCAAACAAATAAGTACAACTAAGAATAAAATAGTTCACTCAGAACATAAATAGTACTAATATGTCTATTGGAGTCATAAACAATGTAACTAGTGACGTGTCGGAATATCCGCGGATTTTCGTCTCTGTTTCTTTTTGGCGGGTCTTACAGATGTTTTCAGTATTATATTTTATTTCGTAATGAAGTAGCTAAGTTACAAAGGAGGATGTCCATTCATGATTTCACTTTTAGACGTTCGCGTCATTATTTAAAATGTTAAAAATATATTTTAATGTATGACCGCACGGATGGCATAGTGGTTTAAGCGGTCACCTCGCTGCAGAAATTAATTTGGAAATTAAATTAAGAATAAAAAGTGCACCGCTTCACACCGGCGCCACTAAAATTCTTATTTCTTGAAAAAAAGTTCCAGTCGGGTCCAAAAGTAATCCACACGCAGTCATCAGAGGCCCAAGTGTGAGTTTATTTCACTTCGTAACTGCGATCGGCGATGTGATTGGTCCGCACTGAAATCTCCACCAATCGCAACGCCAAACGCGCTCGCCGTCGAAACGAGTCGATGTGAAATAAACTCACACTGGGGCTTCAGGACATCCTCGAAACACGCGCGTGATTAAACTACTTTTAATAAATAAGTATGTGTCTACTTTTTTACATAATATACATAATTTAGTAAATATACCAGAGAAGTTAAAGATCGATACATAGTCAGTTCTCTAGAACACCAAAATAATGATAGACTGAGTTATATACAAGTAGCTACATTAGTCAACATTAAAGATAGATAGATATTAACATCAACAGTTTACTTACTCTTTGGCATTTAACGACCAAGTCTTCCAAATTAGAGAAATAGCTTTCTAACCACGTGGTACATTGCTGATGAAATTCACTGAGATGTTTATTATGAAAAAGCTTTGCACTGCAGTTGTAATAAATTATTTATTTTTTCGCCGAATATGTATTTTGTCGTTTCATTTACTATTTTTATTTACGCGTGTTTTAAAATTTGCATAGAAAAATCGTTGGTACCTATCTGCTTTCTATGAACTCTATCATTTATATATGCATTTAACCTTTTTTATGTAACTATTAACTAATATTTTTAAGGGCATGGATCATACTTTCATTTCAAAAATGGTTAAGGTTGAGTTGAATTAAGTTGCACATCCTAGAGTACTTCAGTGATCCGTTATATTTTAAATATGCGGAGAAAACCGGCGACCAGTTAAGCTGATACTTATTAACAACTATAATTTTGGAAATACTTAGAAATGTAAAGACCTTTGAGTTACTTGAATAAGGGTTTTCGCCGTGGACCTTTTCGCCAGAATTCAGAATTGTAACCAATTTTAGGTATAGTCATGCAATATAATAATACTTCGCAACTCATATACATGCAAGAAAGTTTAAGATAATAGTCCAGGTAGAACATCTATCTCTCTAATACTTCAGAGGGCGTAGGGTGAGTTTATTTCACATCAACTCGATCGTCACGAGGACCGTTCGGCGTTGCGATTGGCCCGCACTGAACTCTTCACCAATCTCACACTAGGCCTTCTGTAATATAAAACTGTCACGTTAGCCCACGTGGTCTTAACTAATTCCCAACTACCTTCAGTAACAAATCTATTCACAACGCTTATAAGCTCAATCCTCCTTTCCCCTGCTTAGACTGAAACGTCTGTGGAACTTGAACATCTTCTTTTTCTCGTGACGTTCTTCCATCGGTTTCTCTACCAGATTGTCCGCACTCTTGGCTACCTGGACACTTTTTCTCCTATTCTTCATCGACTTGACAAGTCTGTAAAACTTCCCTTTCTTCTTAGTAGGATCGTGGCCGTGATCTACGGTATCTTCTTCTACTTCTACGCTGAATTCTGATGATAAGTCACCGAGGTCTTCAACGCTGTGGCTTTCAATTTCTCTGGGTTGAGGGACCACCAGTTTTGATTTTGATGTGTCTGGTTTTGGTTCTACAGGTGGTGGAGGCGCGTCAGGATCGACACACTGAAAAAGAAATAAAATTATATAACTAAATGTGATTTTGAGCTATCCGACTGATCAAATGTTTCAACCCTATCAAGAAGGTCACCACGTTCCAAAGAACACAAGTCACGAGAATATATAATGTCTGAAATAGGTGATCATCAGTAATCTAAGATCTGACAGTTCGACTATAATACTGCCGCTCATAAAAATGTTTATGTAAATTACGGTGATAAAAATGTTTTAAACACTAGATTATAAAAGTCTCATGAAAAATTTATTATAAAATTTGTGCAGTTTAAAAATTTTGTGATTGATGAAATTTAAGATTAATAGATAAACAAAGGTTTTTATACACTTCCATTATAGATCTCAATAACCAACAAAAACATGGCAATAAAAGTTTCAATCACACGCATTTTAAGAACATCCAACAAAATACGTAGGGAAAAAACGAAAGTTCGAAACAATAAAATCAATAATCGAGTTACCGTACCTACTTCTTTCTTTATAATATAGCAATGAAATATAAATGACAGAAAACTTGAGGCGGAATTCCTTGACAGGGTCGTTAAAAGTTTTTGGATAAATTGTAGAGTATGCTAGTATTAGAATTACTTTCTGAATTCTTTTTATGAAGAAGTTTCAAAAGAACATTCTTTTGTTGTAGATTATATTACTTTAGCACAAGGAATAAATGTTGAGATTACTATTATAATCATATTAATGCAATTACGTAATTAATAGAACAAAAAATACTTTTTAATTACCCAGCTCCTACATCCTATTCATTTTTCTAAACAATTTAGCTTTTTCATTTGTCCCGTCTGGAAACGATTAAAAGGGCAGGAGGATGATGGCTAAAAGACGACTAAAATTACAAATATTATTTTATCATAAAACGCTAAATTTTAAAGTTTTACTTTATATCAAACAGACAGAGATTACTAAGTAATTATCGCATCAAATATTGATTTACTGTGCACCAAATCACAATAAGGGTTTACAGTGGTAATCCCTTTTGATGAATTGTGTCTGTATTTAATTGCATATTGCGTAAGATAAAGCTGCAGAAACTGGGCTGTTAGAATTTCGCTATAATACACATACATATATGTAGGTGTATTATACTCTCAATTAAAAAAAAAAATCTTTTATAAGTTTATGTAGGTGCAACTTACATCAGCCAGTGAGATCCTGTGCGGAGGCACCTGCTCCGGATGTATCCAGGGTTTGTGATAGGGTAAGTCTGTTAGTGCCTTCCAACCGGGATAGCGGCGAGCAGCTGCGTGCAGCTGCTGTACTAAGCGAGGTGCCAGTTGTGCTGTTACCCTGAAAAGAATACTGTTATTAAATCCATGAACCGTCTCTATTTTCAATTATTTCTGTTGTATTTTTCGTGCATGCTCTGCTGTGTATATTGAGTACACGATTATCACTAGGAAAGTATAAGAATATTGTTTAAGCCTTTAAAAATCCTGTCTTTTTGTAATGCTATTTTGGTTTTAAGATCTAAAATCATTTTTAAATATAGGCAAATAAGAACTAAATATGTAACAAATCCTGATGTAATGATATTCTTGAACTTATAAGCCGACATATACCTGCTATAAAACTACACTCGTTACTATGCGTGCTCTTAGCTTGCTCTCCATATTTATACGATATCTTCTGCGGCATCTGCACCGTGGCACAAACTGATTTATTTTAATAAGTTTTTTATGTTATATTTGCAAATGTCAGACATGCGTCGGATCATTCATTCATTCATTCATTATAATAAATCTACTAAATTTTTCATAATATGCATGCTATTATTGAATGTTCAAGCGCAGAAAGAACCTTAAATCAACAGGTAAAGCGAAGAATGCTTCCGTGGGGGTTGTTAGGGAGGAGTTTAATCAATGTTTTCGTAGTAGTTGCAGCGATAGTTTTTTTTTTCAAGTTTAGAGTTCGTTTGTTGATGTCGCAAAATCTCCTAATTAAATCTAATCCTAATTAAAAAATCTCTTATAAAAATTTCAATATAAGGCTGTATTCATATATGGACAAGTGCGAGTCGGACTCGCCCACCAAGGGTTCCGTACAAATTTGTAGGTACATATTATAAAAAGTTGAAGAATCGAGTCTCCCTGTTTTGCCGAGCTTATCCCGAAATTCAGTTTCCCAAAACCTAACTACTTAAATTGTGTTTAATAAGTAATTACTTAAGTTGTGTTTAAAAAGTGAAATTATATTTTTATGTAGTAAAGACTATATTTTTATGATTAAATTACAAATGCATAGTTTTCAGATTTTGCTCTGTACTTGTAGAATATTCTCTATTATACGCGTTCCCGAGATAAAAGGTCTTGACAGACAGACAGACGGACGGAGGGACGGACGACAAAGTGATCCTTTAAGGGTTCCGTTTTTCCTTTTTAGGTACGGAACCATAAAAAACTACCATTCTATGAGTGATGTAACAATTACTTCTACGCAAACGAAACCGCGGGGAAAACCACCAAACTAACATACTGGGACTATAATCAACACTGGGGTAAAATATAAAATAAATATACGTCCGTAATTGGAGCTTTACCTTATCATTACCGATTGCCCGGAGGACCTATTAAAACTGAATTCATGTTATAGTAACGAACAGATAAGATATCCAAGGCAGAAGGTTATTTTATGTATCAGAATTCACTGTACGCAGAATTTATAATTCGGTTACATGATATTTAATTGTTTATTCGGGAATTAAGGTGATCAAGATTGGTTGGTAAAATAATGGTTCAATATACTGTGTTTTATAAGATAAACTGAATCAGTTCCTTACTTGTATTGTATCAGGAAAAACTTTATTCTAATACAATGAAATTTAATGACTCTTGAATATAAAATATATGCAAATCGTTAGTAAGTATAATAGTTAAGAATGTTGTTTATAAAGAAATATTCAATTAGTTTCTGCTTTTATATGTGATTTTAATTGATTGTATGTATCATCTACGATTTCTGATGTCGGCCACCACCCAGACGTAGTCGCGGGCTAAAGCTAGTCTGTATATAAAAATGTTAAGTTGGTTTGTGGTGCTTCAGAAACCCCAAAATTTTTGGAACGGTTGAGCTCAAATTCTGACATAATGTACAACCGCTTCAAGGATGGTTTTTATCAATTTTTTCGCGTCACATTTATTTCTCATTTCCCATCAATGCAGTTTCAATGTTCAACAGCTAAGCGTGGCATGGTACACCAAGTTCTCGTAATAAAAGTTCGATAAAAATTCAGTTCCGACCGAGTCTCGATCTCACAACTTTTTTTTGTTGGGACTAATCCCACCCACACGCCCACCACTGTTACTCCTGTACACCAGGATCCACAGCAGTGACCCACGAACACACCGAGTTATGACACTCGGGAAGTCCCAGGAAGAAATTAAACTGTCTTGGAACCCGCAACGAAATTAATCAGAAGAAAATTGGAGGAGTTGGAAATACAGTAAATCCACTTCCCTCCTTAGCAAAGCGGGAGACAAAATGAAGTAAAATGGGCATACACCCTTTTAAACAGGGAAGCACCACGGCCACAAATATTACGGGTCCTACGTGAGCTATGTTTGATTTCTATAATATGTATGGCAAAATCGCCTAAACGCACGGAAATTCACCCTAGTTGACACAAGATCCCCATAGTATACCGCCCCAGATGTCACCTGCAAGCTATTCAGCATTATATTACGTTCATTATACCAAAGACTACATTCCCAGAGGATATGATGAGCAGACTGTTCATAGTGTGAGTTAGGTGTTGAGCATTGACACAACGGTGACTCGACTAATTTAAATGAATAAAGCTTGCTCTTAAAGTTACCATGACCCGTAAGAAATTGAGCGACACAGTGATCCACCTCAAGCCATATCCTCGACAACCGTTCGCGAACAGACGGAAAGAATTGGTAAAGATGGCGCCCCTTGGATGATTCATCCCAGCGTTGTTGCCATTCGTCTATGAGGTCATTATAGACATCGGGCTGCTGTTGAAGCAATCTTGTAATTTTAGCGCGATCTCGCGCGCCCAAAAAGTCGCATTCCATGTTTTGTTGTCTTGAATAGTACATGGCTGCACGTCTCTGCACCTCGAGATCGACCGGAAGCACACCCGCCAACACCGGCAAAGCCTCAGTGCTAACCGTCCTATATGCCTTACACAAGAATATCAGTGCAAGTCGTTGGCCTTGTAACAGTTTGCGACGGACAGCGCCTACGGTCGCCCTATCGGCCCATACAGGTGCACCATAGCACATAGAACCTAAATAAGTAGCTCCGTATATGATCTTTAATGTATTAAATGATAGACCCCATGTCGCAGTTGATATCCTTGTCAATGCACAGAAACTCTTTTTAGACTTTTCATTAACTATTTTAATATGTTCGATAAATGAAAAGTTTCTTTCTAAAACTAATCCTAGATAACACACTGTAGTTTTATTTTTTACAGTAACATTGTCAAATCTAATGCTCGGTGGTGATTTGAGGTTACCTTTTAAAAGTAGCTGGAAGGTTTTGTTGGGTGCAAAAGTTAAGCGATTACGTTCACCCCATTGAGATATCAAGTTCAAACATCTATTGGCTAATCTCTCAAGCCCCGCCCTAGTATCAGATTCCACCAGTAATAAGCCGTCATCAGCATACGCGTTCAGAGTACATCCGGATGGTATTGGTATCGCAAGAAAATCGTCGAAGCCGATATTCCACAAGTATGGACCTAGCACCGATCCCTGAGGACATCCCATTGTAAGCGCCTTCGACACAGAATGATGACCAAGTCTTAGTTTAGTTGTACCTTGTGAAAAGTATGAAGAGATAAGGGAATAAATATTTTTAAAGCACCCCCGTGATTTTAATTTCAGCAACAGCATGGGCCACCATGCGTTGTCGAAGGCGCCAGATATATCTAAGAAAATAGCCAGCACGTATTGAAATTTTGACTCTGTGACAAACTTTCTAACCGATATAACAGCGTCAGTTGTCGATTTACCCAACGTAAATCCAAATTGTCTATCATGAAATTTGACTCCACCTGGCAGAAGCCGGGGCACTACAAGACGTTCTAAAAGCTTTCCTAACAATGGTAATAATGTGATTGGTCGGTAGGATTTAGGATCATCCGGTGGCTTGTCGCCACTTTTTGGTATTATACGAATATTACCGCACCGCCATATACGAGGAAATATTCCTTCAGCAATGCAACGTTTAAAGACAGTGAAAATCGTGTCACCCGAAAGTTTACAAGCTTCTTTTATCATTTTGTTAGATATTTTATCATCGCCCGAAGCCTTGTTTAGCGGCAAGGATCTAATGATACCGAGAAATTCGTCTGAAGATGGTAAATCAGACATTGGAGACAGTGGTGGTTCGATGGCCCACTGCCTGATCTGTCGGTGATGATCAGTGTCGTTTTCCGGTCGATCGTCAGGTACGAGTGAGTCTAAAAGATATTCTGCTGTTTGTTCTACTCCTGTGGTATATCTGTTATTAATTTTGATGTTCTGTATGTATGCAAGGTCGATTGATCTATTTGCCTTAAATTCGTGATACAAAGGTGACCACGGGCCCTCTCTATCGAGTTTATCAACAAGTTTCTGAATTAAGTTTCCCTTGGATTTTTCCACAGCAGCTCTGTAGTGGGACCTGGCAACTCTAAGAGCAATGAGAGCATTGTTGTACAAATCTCCTGTTACGTTATGTTTTTTAATAGTGTTTAATTTTCTACGAGCTTTCCGGTAGCTTCTACGTAGTTCGGCTAATCTATCATTCCACCAATCACATCTACGAGTGTTAGTGATAGATCCGCGACCAATAGTTACATCAGCGCAGTATGTAAAAGTTTCTGATAGTATTTCTGCGCTTTCCTCAGCTGATAAACTACTGCGACTGAAGTCTTTGGTATGAGTTGCAAAGAGTGAACCAAACAAAGCCCAGTTCGCACCTTTAGTTTTATATCTAAAATTATAGGGAGCCCTTTGTGGATCCTGTGCAACCCTTGCGATCAAGCGGTGATCACTACAGGATGCGTCCGGAAGGACACGCCATCCGGATATCGAGACGTCGCCGCGCGTAAGCGTCACGTCAATAGAAGACTCCCCCATTGGGTTGCAAAAAGTTGGTGGTGCATCGGGGGTATTGTGAATAATAAGATTCATTTCCGCAATGAAATCTTCAACCGCACAACGTCGAACCGTGTCGGTTGAACGCAACTTGCCATACCATAATGAAGATGACGCATTGACATCAGCGCCAATGATAATTTTATGTCCCACGAGGAACTGCAAGACGTAACGTAAGTGATGTAAGTGAGGATCAATAGGATGTGAATATTGAAAATAGCAGCTCACTACGTAAACCTTACAGGTAGAGGATGAGATCTCAGCAACGGCGCAGTGTGACGTCATAAGATTACGCAAAGATGTTACCGTAAAATTAGAACTTGCAACATATATCCCAGCCTGCGAACGGCAGTCAAGCTGTACTACATTACGACGCAAGTGAGCGCTCTGATATTGTTCTTGTAAAAGGACAATGTCTAACTTTTGTTCTAAAATTAAACGGTCTAATTCTGATGTAGCTATTTTATCGTTATGAAGATTTAACTGGCCTATCGAAATATTATTCATTACTTAGTAAGTTACTCTTTTAACTTTTTTTTTTTTTTCCTTGTTTCTTTGTTTTTTTTTTTTTTTTTTTTAAACTAAGTTAAACTATTCAGTAATTGGTATTTAATATTAGCTGTTCCAGTTTTAATTTGTATGTGGCACAGTCGTATGAGCCGCATCGATGGTCAGATGGTTTTTTGAACCGCTTACACTGTGCGCACGTGGGCTTAAAATCTGGTGTGTCTTTATCTGGACAAGCTCGCGTTTCGTGTGCGGCGGCGCAATTAGCACAAGTAGGGGTTTTTATGGTGCAAAACTTTTGTACATGACCGAATTGCTGACAATTTAAGCAACGAACTACTTCTATATCGTCTATGAATCTACATGTGGCCCAGTCTATATAAAGTTTATCTTTTGTGTTGGCTAGATGTTTCCGAACTGCTGCCTCTAATTCTAAGCCTATCCATTGACGCCCATTTTCTAGTTTACGATGCCTAACAATTTTGGTTGACTTAATAAAATCGTTCTCACTTAATTTTAATTCGTCCTTGATATTCTGACGGTATAAGGCTGTTAGGAAGGCACGATCTTCCATAGAACCGGGTACGTCTTTTACAATTATACGGGGCCTACGGCCTTTCGGTTTTTCTAAGCGCAACCCTACTGATTTAATGGCGTCCACAGATTCCAGTTTCTTAAGCTGCCGTTCGTTAGCTACACGCAACACGACGCCTGCCTTAGAGGTTTTTTTAACGCCTACAATTTGAAATCCCTCATCGCTCGGTTTAATAGCCTTCATGAGAGCTTGTTTTGTTGCTGACGAGGTCGCATAGTCCGCTAAGCGTTCCGTAGTGGGATAGGCAATAACACAAGGCCTAGGAACGCGCGCTTCAGTAGGTACCGGGCACGGAGCAGATTTAGGTGGTAATCGAAGCTTAAGTTTGTCCGCGTACGTTAAACTCGTTTTTTGAGTGGCGATACCCTCCATTTGTCGCTCGAAATTCGCTAACTTCGTTTCGTTGCTAGAGGATTTTATTGCTAACAAAGATACGATACCGGTAATTCGTTGAGTAATATCCATAATCGCCGTTTTATTACCTACATTCATCCGAGATCCCTGATCATTAACTAATTCATTAATTTTTGCTAAATAATCAGTGGCCTGTGATACTAAGTCACAGTAATTGTACTCCTCACAGTTATCACGACCGGTAGGAGACGAAACATTTCCACTTAAGTCCGAATTAATAACGCGCCTACGGCTACTGTCTTTCGGCGAGAAGTCCGTAGGTGACATTTCGATAAATGTCCTTTTCCCGGTTGGTGTTAGAAATTCACTTGTACCGCCGGGGTCCGGCAACTCGCTAACGACCGACATAGCCAAACAAAGACACACCAAACAACAATTTCAAAAGGAACAGGTTTAAAAATAAATAACACGCAGAGAAAAATCAATATAAACAAAGGATACCTCCTACCCACTTTTAGAAAGAAAATAAATTTACTCACCAATAGTCGTAATAAAATAATTCAGCACTATATTACTGTTTAAAAACAATAAAAACTTACTGACTTTCTTTAAAACACTATACACAACCTTTAGCCGCCCGCAAGCCGGAAACTAGTCGCAGAAAAACAGAAAACAATATTTAAATTGTTAGCACATGAAGTCACACGTTAGTCGCACGGTGCCGCGAAGGGAAGTGTGATCTCACAACTGTCATAAAAGGTATTTTTGTAGTAAAGTAATACGATTATATCGTATTGTGACAGAAAGTGAAATCGGTATTATTATTGGTGGCCTCCGGTTTCCGCATCTAGACACAGGGACGGTTTTTTTTACGTCTTGTTGAGCGAACCCAGCTATTTCAAGAACCGCAGAATCCTTCGGGGACGTTTACAGGCTTCTAGGCGCGAAATTAAATCTGTAATCTGCTGGTCTAGTAATACTTTACTATTTTGCATTTTTTTATTTTGCGTAAGATAGAAAGCGTGATTTTCGTCATTTTTAATATTTCCTATTATTAATCCTAATTAAAAAATCTCTTATAAAAATTTCAATATAAGGCTGTATTCATATACGGACAAGTGCAAGTCGGACTCGCCCACCGAGGGTTCCGGACAAATTTGTAGGTATTATAAAAAGTTGAAGAATCGAGTCTCCCTGTTTTTTTGGAGCTTTTCCCGTTTTTTTTTTAATATTTCCCTATTCGAAGGCAATCATGATCCTCAGACTTGAGGGACCCACCCAAGAGAGTAAGCAGACGTGCACTTTTCTGGTATTTATCCAACTGGATAAAAAAGTATGTAACCTTTTGATCGCATAAAATCTCAGAATAATAATAACAGACAAATATTTTTCAAATATTTTTAAAAAGAAATCTCATATGAGATTTCTTTTCGTTCTTGTCTTTCTCTGCAATTCCCAATTTCCCGATGACGACAATGGGCTTGGCCGGAAATAGATTTACTTCCACTTAAGTAATAGGAGATCACGTTAGTGGCCTTTTGTTTACCCCTTCGTGAATAAAGACGTGAATGTATGTATTTATGTTTGTATGTGTGTAAATAAATAATATTTGTTACCTGTTAACAAGCCACGCTGGTAAAGCCCCCCGTGGGTCAGAGCGGGAAACGTACCCCAGCCAACTGCCTTTGCCCGGTCGAGTTCTGACTACGAATCCAGTTAGCAACGACATAGCTCTGAAAAAAGCAAACGATACAAATAAAGTAACACAAAACATAGTTTAAGTTTGTTATAAGGATCTGGGTTTATCCAAAACAAAACAAGAATTGGAGTGCTTGTTAAAAATTGTCTTAAACCTTTTTTCATCTCATCCATATTCTTATGTGTATATACGTACCTAATTATGTAGCAATAATTATTACATTATTACATTATTATTATTATTTATTATTATATTATTACAATAATTATTTAGCAATAAGGCCGCCCTTTGTACACTCGATATTTGATCGTTGTGTTCCTTTCTTGAAACTCTGTAATTTAGTGTGCAAATAAAGAGTTATCTATCTATCTATCTATCTATCTATGTAAGTCACCGTGTGTGTTCGTAATAATATTTCCCGTTTCTATCAAAGAAAAATCCTTGTTACAGTTAAAATGAATGAAAATAGCATTTTTTTTTATGTAGAGGGGGCAAAACTAAAATTACAAAATTTTATTTTGACTACGTATCTCAGTATACATATACTATGAAATTCATTTAGTTTTTATGTATACTCGTAGTATTCATTTTGATCTACATATACTCCTCAGCTTCCTTCAGCCAGCCATAATAAAAGGCAAACCTGTACCCACTATCCCACTAAGATAAATCCAACACTAAAAAGTTAATACACATCTGATTGTCACAATTACAAAACACAGTATATTTAAAATGTACAAACAAAGCCATCGGTACCTCAAGAGTGGCACACAGCCAACTTAATTTTACAATATTTGTACAGCCTAAATAAACTTCCTTCCACACAGCGACAATAAAACTGTTTGTTTCACCATTTTAAATAAATTCACAACCAACAGACGGTCCAGGGCGAAATTAATGTCGGACAATTTTATTATCATGGCTACTTTATTTAAGATGTCATAAACTTAACTAGCATTATATTGTTTTGTTTTATTAGCATAGTACCCATATTCATGAATTTAATAAATCTACATCCATAAAGATCCTAACTCGGTTTGTGTACGCTTCAAAAACTCAAAAATTACTGCACCGATTGAGCTCAAATTTTTACCCTTTCAAACATAGTTTTTAACTATTTGCCGCGTAAAAGAAGTAGGCAGATGCAATTGTATTCTATCATATCCGCTATCTACAGCAGCCACACTACTATATCAAATTGTTAACATAGGTATGCGCAGACGATCCTTTGTTGACAACCTTATATAGACTTGTATATTATTTAGATTAGAAACTATGTAAAATATGTTAGTGAATTGGCCCAAATGAGTGGCATTATCCTGTTGGATAAAACTCCTTAAAATAAAGATTAAAAAAAAAAAACTATTTGTCAGTTTTGATCCTCATTGCTCATCAATGCAACCGCAATAATATTCATTAGCGCGTCGTTGGTCTACTTAATATGTTTGTGTGACCTTATTCTTACTAGAGCACTATTTACCGCTGTACGCTCTTCTATCACACCTCGGATAAGACTTAGAAATGCCAAAACATAGTTTTATATGATATCGGGGCAAACGGACATACGATGATTTCGGTCGCCCATAAATACCTATAACTTAAGTCCCAAGTGCGTCATTTCATTAAAAAGATATTGAAAATAAATTTTAATAATTCAATTTCTTCATCTTATTTCTTTCCCTCCTGTTTCATTTCAAATAATTTCGAATTTCGAAAGAAAAAGTTTGTTAAGAAAAGATTACCTAAGAAATATTGAATAACCGATTATACTCGTACATTACCCTCAATCCCAGGCAAATTTAAAAATACAAAATGTCAAAACAATAATAGCTATATTTATTTTTGTATTCTGATGGCCTCTAATATTGATAGTAAATAAAACTGTTATCTACATATTTTTTTTTGTGCTTTTTTACTCTCTGTAAGTCCGTTTGCCGGTTTGCAAAGGCCTCCTCTAACCTACTCCATTCTGATCTCGCCCTGGCTACTCTACTCCATGTTATGTCTGATATCATAGTCCTATCTTTTTTGTTGTCTACCTCTTTTTCTTTTACCCTCCAACCAATCCTCAACTCTCAATATATTATTATATATTACTATGACCAAAGAAATATTGCTCCATAGATGTAGTATTTTTTCAGCACTCATTTCCCAAGGACTATTATAATAAAACCTATTGATGGCTCATTTTCTGAACTGTATATTACATAGAGATAGATAAAGAAGTTATTATTCTTTTATGAACAATAAAACCGTATTTTTTGACTCCCAGGAGAAAGTACTTTATATTATACGACAGCAGGCGTAATACCCCTTATATATTATGTCGGTAATAGTTACGAAGGTTACCTTTCTATGTTTAGTAAGTCTCTGAATTGTAGCGTCAGCTATAATGTAAATGCCCTAGACAATTAAATGGTATCAAGTTTTTAAAGGAAAAATCAATTTTCAATTCATTCTTTACGGTTTAAATTATTATAACTAGGTTTGTGGTGACTGTCCTCCATTAAATATGTTCATCATTTTACGACAACACTCGACACGCAAAAGTTTCTGGTCTTCTAAAAAATCATGCGGCATCCATCGAACGCAAAGCTATCGAATCTTCAGATGTACTCGTACATGCAAAATCTTTTGTACTACGTACTGTATTAGGTATTAGGAGTAAGCACAAAGCGAACAAATATTTTTGGTTGGTTTCAATTAGTTGTACGTTATCAATACTGGATTCTACACACGTCCACGTCGTAATTCTCCGAACGATAAATACACAGAGGCCCTACGTGAGGCTTTATCACCAAATGCCGATTGAAACCTCTGATAAATCTCTTGTTGTCTTAAGTAAAAGTAAAGTCGTATAAAATAATGGAGCAAAAATTTTCAAAAGTTCGATACATGGTGTTTTATAAACTACGCCACAATGAGAAAAGTAACGACAGTCTCGCAAATTAAAAAGTAATTGTACCCTGACGAGGTTACTACCACATTCAACGAAAAACTTATGTCAGCAGCATCTAGGGAAGACACACCGAGCCGCAGAGTAACTACTAATCCTGCATCGCGTAATTAAAGTTCTCGTGACCATAGTATATTTATACAATTTATACATACAACTCCCTAACCAGTGGGCCGCGATTATTTTTTTTCTAGTCGTAGAATCCTCCCTTTGTGGTGTATGTACATAATGTCCATTTCTCCTTCGGTAACATGATTGCCGCTAAGGTACGGAGCGAGAATGCGTGGAACTCCGCCGTCTCCTTCTGCGAGCAAGTTATGCTTGCAAAGGAGATGGCGGAGCAGGACCGGAGAGAGGTTTAGAACCCTCCCGGCCCACCAGGCCCGGGAACGGGACAGGTACCGCAGACGACTCAGGCGCCGGAGGTCGCAGAACGACCTCCGTCCACCATAAGCCCAGGCATGGGGGTGACAGATGTGACGCATGTCCCTGGCAGAAGCAGGCTTTCAGGGTAAAAAGGGTCCCACACAGGAGGGGGTGATCTACACGCTGTAGAAGGCCCGAGGTACGTCGGAGTATCAGGGATTTCCATACTAGGGTACACCTGGTTCCAACTGGGTACAACTGGTACCCGAGACGGCGTGCGGTTTTTGGTCGGTTTGAGTCCGACATAACCACTGGTGGTAAGTGGTGGTAATCGAGGGGATTTCCGCACGGAAAAAGAAAAGGTTCCATTTTCGAATACCGTAATTGCTTTTCTGATTTAAGTATATAATTCTAAAGACTAAGTATTGTCAAACCATTTAAGTACATTTATTTGTAAATCAAGTATATAGTGTAGCATACTCTGAATCAAGTAGAGAGAGAGAAAGAGAAAGATTTTTTAAGAAAGATTATTACTAAATCATCATCACCATCACCCAACCTTTCATAGGCCACTGCATAGAATGAAATTTCTTCGCACAACATGGACGAAGGAGAAAATACGACTTCATAATTTTAACACACGCACAGCAATAACACATTAAAAACTGCAGCCAGCTTTCACGAGATACATATATGAACAAAAGGCTGCGCTAAATAAACGAGGCATTGAAAAACTCTTCTAGTACCGCACAATTCATTTCAGAAGGCTGTGTCGTCGCTGCCAACCTGTCTCGACTTCCGACTAAAAAGTCTAAACAAAGAAACACTTTAAACTCGTTGTGGTTTGAAGAATGTTTTTCAAAGAAAACCAGACACTTTTATGAGGAATGTAGTTTCTAAACATTAATGATAGACTTGGAAGTTTATTGATTCTGATACGAGCTGTAGATTATTTCACTTCGGTTAATATATTCAATACAACGTATATTATATTATCAAGATAAGAACTGACGTAAACAAATCTAAATAATGTCATCTATAAAGAATTCATTTTTTTTTTGCAATTTCAGGCACATTGCTAATGGTCCCTTCTTGGATGGTGTCGCCGTCGTGTGCTACGCGGACGACACAATCGTGACGGCGCGCGGCAAGACGCACCACGAGGCAACCCTGAGGGCCACGGCCGGGGTTGCCCAAGTCGTTGAGCGTATCCGGCGGCTGGGTCTCGAGGTGGCTCTGCACAAGTCCGAGGCCCTGTTCTTCCACGGGCTTCGGAGGAAGCCGCCTGAGGGATCTAGCCTCACGGTAGGAGGCACTCGCATCGGCATCGAGCCCTCGATCATCTGGGGCTCGTACTCGATGGCCGATGGGACTTCGGATATCATTTCCGAGGTCTGGTCCCCAAGTTGGTTGGGGCAGCGCGTGCGTTGGCGCGGCTGCTGCCCAACATGAAGGGACCCGAGTAGAGTCTCCTGCAGGAGACTCTACTCGGGGGTTGTGCGGTCCATGGCCCTTTACGGGTGCCCGGTATGGGCGGGGGCCCTGAAGGCCGGCAACGTCGCGATACTGCGACGACCGCAGCGAATGCTGGCCATCAGGATCATAAGGGGGTACCGCACGATCTCCTTTGAGGCAGCGAGTCTCCTGGCCGGAACTCCACCGTGGGACCTGGAGGCGAGAGCCCTTGCGGCACTGTATCAGTGGCGCA